AAGGGGAATGTGTATTTAGCGCTTGGATGGGGAATGTGTGTTTAGCGCCTGGATGGGGGATGAATAGTTTAATGATTGACTGTTGGAGGGGTTCATGATTATGAAAATTACTGTAGATTTATTTGTTTGATTTCTTTAATTTAAAAAGAATAAATTTGAAAAATTTAAAACGATATATTTACAAAAACTTTTAATATATTTCATTTTTAGATTAACTTTTGAAAATCATTTCATTTATTATTTATCATTGTTATTATTATCATTTATTATTTATAAAAGCTTATTGAAAGCTATTATTGATTGAATTTCGAAATTTTTATAAAACAAAATATAAACTTAAAGCAATGATCTTTGAAGAGAACGAAAGCAAAAAAAAAAACGATATTTTTCTTTTGGGAAATTTTTAGATTATCGAGATTTCATTATTGTTCTAAAAAAAAAAAAGAAAAAGGGAAATTTGAACTTTAAAATAATAATTTCTTAATTAAACTTCTTGTAATTTGCATATTTCTGACAATGTATGAATTGTTTATAGACCATTTTTCATAAATTAACGATCACTTTTACATTTTTCCCTCCCCTCTTCGTTCAAATTTCTTTCATCTATTCATTAACGATGTCAACATTTCATCATCATTTTTTTTTTCATTTAATATTTCTTCAAAATAAAATATGATTTTTTTGAAAACTATCGAAATTGTCATTTGATAAAATTCGCTTTTTATTCATCAAAAATTATGACATTTAAAAATTTTTTCTTCAAATATTTAACATTTTTGCTAAGTTTGATATTTTTGTTAATTTGACATTTTCTTCATTTATTTTAGTTTTACAAAAAGTTTTGGAACAAATATGAAACAGTTTGTTTTGTATGAATAATACCAAACATAAATGGCAATATGACAATAATTGAAAACTTAATTTTCATATTAAAAAAACAAAAAAAAACAAAGAAGAAGCGATGGATGAATATGCAGTAGTACTAGTAGTAACACTGGTAGTAGCACTAGTAGTAGTAGTAATCTTATCAATCATTCTTTCAAAGAGATTGATTTCAAAAAAAAAACAGATTAAAATATGGAATACATGCAACTTGATAATTGGCTGTAATAATAATAGTAATAT